AAACAAAACAACCAAACTAAACAAACAAAACAACCAAACAAAACAAACAAACAAAACAAACAAACTAAACAAACAAAACAAACTAACTAAACAAACAAAACAAACAAACTAAACAACCAAACAAAACAACTAAACAAAACAACCAAACTAAACAAACAAAACAACCAAACAAAATAAACAAACAAAACAAACAAACTAAACAAACAAAACAAACTAACTAAACAAACAAAACAAACAAACTAAACAACCAAACAAAACAACTAAACAAAACAACCAAACTAAACAAACAAAACAACCAAACAAAACAAACAAAACAAATAAACAAAACAAACAAAACAACTAAACTACAATAATCCTCTTACACAACTGACACTTTATATAATGAAGACAGACCCATCTCAAGCAGCTTACTGCAGACCCGGGCATCATGATGTTGTTGTTGTTGTTGTTGTTGTTGTTGTTATTGTTGTTGTTGTTGTTAAGTAGAAATTACTTCTCGATCATTACTTTGTTTTAATTTGATTCTCAGCCTGAAAATAAAAAGATCCAAATGATTCACAAAAACATTTTGATTCAGAAACACAATCTAAAAAGAATAAAATAATAACCTGAACATGAACATTTCTGAAGAATCTTTTATTTTGAAATCTTTACAAACTTTAACAAACATCCATTGGTTAACAAGGTTCTGTTCAGTTCTCTGGTTCCAAAGGTTCTACTGATCCTGCTGGTTCTAAACTCTTATTTCTGGTTGAGCCAGCTGAAGGAGAAGACGTGTTTGGGACCGTCTCTGTCCTCAGGATCACTCTGTTCATCGGACTGAAAGACGAGGAAAGTTTCAAACAGTTACCATGGAGACAAAGATGTGACCCGATTCAACCAAAGAACCAATCAAAACACGAGTCTGAAGTCACGTGACTAAACATGATACCTGAGTGATGGATCTGTTGGGAGGAAGGGGCAGAGGGGCGATGACCTGACTCAATGATGATGATGATGAAGATGATGATGATGATGAGTGGGTGGGGCTCCTTGTCTGTGCCGTCTCTGATGGTTTCTGAGGGGGCGTGGCTAAGCTGAGAAGTGAAGGTGAAGGCTGCTGATTGGCTGCTGCTGGTGGTACCAGTTGTTGTGACTCAGAGTGACTTCCTGTCTCGGACCCCCGATGCTCTGCCTCTTCCTCACTGTCCTCATCATCTTCCTCAACTGAAGGAAAACACCTCATTAATATTAATGATGTAATCATTCTGCTGTGTGATTGGTCAGAGACAACGTTTACCTTTGATGAAGTCAATGTCCATCAGAACTCTCCTCTGATGCTCAAAGTTGGCCTTGAAGTGCTCCATGTTCTCATAACCAGGCTGGACCTTGTCCAGGTGAGACGTGTCTGTGGCCTGCACCATCCTGGCCAGGACAAAACAACAACAACAACAACAAGATAAACAACAAATAAACATGAGTCAGAGCAGGAGAAAACAACAACAACAACAAGACAAACAACACATAAACATGAGTCAGAGCAGGAGAAAACAACAACAACAAGAAGACAAACAACACATGAACATATACAATATAACAAA